CGCAGTGACTCCTGGGAGAATCCAGCTGCAGGGAGGAGCCTCTCAGGCAGGGCTGGGCATCTTTTTCCTGCCAAGAGCCACACGGATATTTACAACATCACTCAGGGCCACACACAGTCACCCACTTAAAAACCAGCCTGTTAGCCTGGTCGGCATGGTGCAGGGGTTGAGCATTGACCTATGAACCTGGAGGTCAAGGTTCGATTCCCGATCACAGCACATGCCCAGGGTTATGGGCTCCATCCCCAGTGGGGGGCGTGCAGGAGGCAGCCCATCAGTGATTCTCTCTTAGCATTGATGTTTCTCTCTCCCTCTCCCTTCCTCTCTGACATCAATAATTAAAAAAAAAAAAAAGGCGGTCCAGGCTAGTGATTCCCATGTGAGAATCACCTCCAGGGAGGCGGTGAGCCCAGTCTGGGTGTGAGGCCTGGGGAAGGCTGCCTCCTGACCTGGTGGGAACACAGCCACGCAGCCGTGAGCCCTCAGGATGAGACCCCGCAGCAGTGACCTGAAATGAGAGTGGAAACCGCCCCGCACCATTGCCCGTGGCGCCTGTCACCGCAGGCAGGCTGTCACACACAAATCACCCGCAGCGGCGGAGAGGGCTCCGGGGGAGGGGGTCCCGGCGGCGGGGGCTCCGCTCCTGGGAGTGTAAATGGGTTCCTGTGACTGGCGCCCCGTTTGCAGCCTGTGTTTGTAAATCTGTCTTGCCGGCATATTTTATGCTTCAGTTAATTTGGCTGACATCTAATTTAGTTGACATCTAAAAATAAAATCAATTTTCAGACAAAATACCCATAAAATAAACGAAATGCTATAATAGGTTTCCAGAAATTAAAATGTAATATATTTAGGCTTCTACTCTAAAGCAATTTCATCTAGAATAGCAGATATCGTAGATGCAATTTTTTTTTCTGAGTCTGTCAATTACACAAGAATAAATGGAGCTGCTCTATATTCAGAAATGGGCTGCTTGGAGAAGTTTGTCCTGAAAAAAAATGGAGATTTTTTTTGTTTTTTTTGTTGGGGTTCCCTTAAAACATGTCAAAGAACTTGACTCTGAATACTTTGTGCGTTGTTGTTGAGCTGTAATTAAGCCTTGGCAATGGTTACTTTTGATACAAACATGATCAAATTTTCATTGGGCGAGTTCTTTTATAATTAACATTGAGTTACGTGCTGTTTATTATCCCATTTGTTTACGTTTCCTGTCATTTTCCAGTTGTTTGCTTGAAGTTCATTTTTTAATAGTGAATTAGTAACTGATAATGTATATTGATTTCAGTGTTGCTCCCAATTTACATTTTTTATCTCTCTGGTTGGTGTATTTGGCTTCATCGTTTATTTCTGTAAGTACTGGTGTGACTTGTTCATTTAGCTCGAAGGTTAGATGTAGCTTCTAAGAGAGTCTGGTTTAGAAAATGGTCCCCACGTACGTGAGTACTTGGCATGTTCGACACGTCAAAGCGACTGGTCTCTGGAAGGTCACGGGGCACGCAACCCTGAGTTCCTCACAGCGGGCTCATCGTTTCCGAACCTCGGACTGTACCCTCCAGTAGGTGGTGCAAACTGCCTCCGTTTCCAATGGAGATGTAACTTAAAACTGTGATGTATCCATTCCCACTCTAAGAATAATATGTCAACGTGTTTTCTCAGCTGCTGTCATTCTCCCCAATTTCTAAGAGAAGCTCTCTCAGTTACCTTAGGTTTTATTCCACAGGTACCACGAGGGTGACCATCATCACAGGAGAGGTGAGAGGCGAGAGGGAACATCAGGGGTGGGGCTACCCACACTGGGAGACAGACCTGTTACAAATGATGAAAACAATAAGTCATTTGCTTCTGTGCTTCAGTCCCGCAACCAAGTGGGCATAATGACAGCCCCACCAGAAACAGTGGCTGTGGGCACCAGATAATGACATCACGTAGCAACATCCAGCTTCCTCTCCCTAGCAACTAGCCTCCTTGCTGTTTCTTCAGCCCAGGAACAGACTTACTTTATAGCCAGGTGCAAACATTTTACACTTTAACCAAATGTCTGGGAAGTGTTTTCACGTGCCTCATCTCATTTGATCCTCACAGAAGATCCTGGAGTAGGGAGATAGGAGACTCGGTGGAATCCTATTTTCTTTTCATTAGCCGGAAAATGGAGATTTAGAAAGTTTAAAAACTTGACCCGACAGAAAAGAAGTAAGAAATGGTGGACCTTGAAAATGACTTCAGGTTTTCTCACTGCGCAGAATAAAGTCAAACACTGCTGCAGTCAAATATTTTACCCTTTGCTCTCCCTGCGTGATCTACAATAATCACCTGCTTCCTGTTGATATTTACTGCTGTGTTTCTGACAATTACCTGAAAGAGAAGTTGGGGTGCTTCGCCGGGCTGGGAAAAGTTTAGCTGCATCAGAAAGCAGGTCTAATTAAGCAAGTTTATTCTCTATCTTTAAAAGGCTAAGTTAACTTGCACATGTGCGATACATGTAAAGCTCTCCCTGGAGCCAATTGCACCCATGTGTTTCCATCTGTCATTGTCAATCGTGAATTTGGTTGAAACTTCAATTATAGAGAAAGGGTAAATAGAGATATTAAAATATTTCTTCTATCAATTTCCTTTCAATTTGCATGAATCCGTGCACTGAGCCATATGTATATATATATATGTGTGTGTGTGTGTGTGTGTGTGTGTGTGTGTGTGTATATATATATATGGATTTATGTGGATATTCACGGCAGGTCCTGTGGGTAAGGCCCCTCCTGAGAACCCCAAGCAGGGCCTTTGGGTAAGGCCCCCCCCCCCCAGGGCTCCTCCTCAGAGCTGCTCCATCCGCAGACAGGGATTATGGGCCCAGGCTGCCTGTCTGCAGGGTCGGCTGGGACCCGTTTCCTGCGAAGCGCGCTGAGGTGCGGGCCCGGCAGTCCTCTACACCGTGGCTGACCGTTCTTCGTGGCCGTTTCAGGTGCGAGCCACACGTGGCCAGACACAGAGGGATTCACCGGAAGTCCCTGGGCGGCCCTGCACCAGGCCGGCTGCTCGGCCAAGGGAACCCCTTGCTAAGGGCTCCGGGGCCCGGTTGGCTGGCGGGGCCTCGCCGGCGCTTTGAGGCTGTTTCCAGCCGCAGCGGCCGGAGGGAGCAGCGGGACCAGAGCCTGTTTCCCGGAGGCCTGTGGCCCGTCCCCGCACAGGAGAGGCTCAGTCAGCGGCGCCGCACGTTCCAGAGGAAGCGTGTCTTCTCTCACTGCCTCACCGCAGCGCGTCTGAGCTCCAAACACACAGCACAAATTAGTTCTACGTGTTTGGCAGTGACAGGCTGAAGGCAGTGAGTGCATGTGTGTGTGTGTGTGTGTGTGTGCGCACGCGCGTGCGCTCTCGCATGCGTGTCCAACATGTTGCATGCGTTTTAGATAATCCCGCATCTCCCCCTCTAAAAGGAAGCAGGAAATACAACTACAGACTTTGAAATTTAATCTTTCACAGGACGTGTCTTTAGCCCTAACACATCAAAAGGAAAATGTATCGCGAAAGCTTTAAAAAGATTGTATTTAAAAAGTAATGGTGAAGCCAGCGAGGGGCCTTTAACTTAAACGTTTTAAGGACGGCGGCATCTGAACACGGAGCACGGCATTTCCACTGACCATCAAACCAGAGTGGCAGCAGCGCCCCCGCCTCTGACTCGCCGTTCCTAACGGGTCACCACAGGGCCATTGAGAGCGTGGTTCGCTCTTCATGAAGACCTGGTCTCGGTGGCTGCCTTCTCGCTGTGTAAAACGGTGCCGGGCCTCGTAAGTGCTCGGTAAACTTGCCGAGTAAACCCTGCCGTGTGCTCAGTGCTGCCTCGCACTCTCCCGTGGGTCGTTCCCAAGCTCTGAGCTGCACGCAGACCGGCCAGCGCGTTCGGAGGCCGGACAGGCCTGACCTCCGGAGTCCTCAGCCCCAGGGATGGATGGACCCCAGGCCCCAGGCACTCCGAGGGCTCCGAGCGCCCTGAGATTTGTTTTCGGAACGACGGGCCACCAAGTTCAGCCCTGTAACCCAACCCTCTGAAAACAAGCACATCCATCACGAGCAGCCCTACCCCAGCCTGGGCCTGGGAAACCCTAGCCGAAGGCAAACAGAATCCTATGTTCCCTGCCGGGGCTCCCGCACTCGGCTTTGCTTGTCTTGGATCCTTTGTCGGAACTTTATACACGAGCCTTCCGAAGCTGGGGAGCCGGGGCCCACCCTCACCCGGGGATCGCAAGCCGTGTTGACAGGACGTGAGAGCGAGGACCGAGGAGACGCCGGAAAACACTGCGGTTCTGACGGGCCCCCCGCTCCAGGGAGGCGGCACTGAGTCCAGGCCGGAGAAGGCCAGCGCTCGGAGCAGCCGTGGCCGCCCCTGGACCTACGGCCCCGTCCGCTGGCCACCGGCCCTCACTTTCTGACTAAATGCCAGAGGCTGTCGCGGGAAGGAAACAGAGACAGGGGGCAGCACTTGGTGTGACACAGCCCCGGGCCCTTCTACGTCCCCGATGCACCTCCTGTGGCCTCGGCACGCCGTCCGGTGAGCGAGCGGCCAGTGCCTCCGGGCAGTGCGTCCGAGCTGGGACTCCGAGGGGCCGAGGCAGGGGCCGCCCCGATGCGGACGAGGCCACCCGCAGCCCAGACTCACTTTACTTCTCTGACAGCTCGGAGGCAGATCGTTCCTATGGGAAAGCTCAGCTCAAACGTTGTTGATTCAGGGACAATAAACACCCGCCACGATCCCGAGACTGGCCTGCACGTGTCTGATATGTCTGTGGGGTTCCTCTGACACGGGGGCGGCAGTGGCCGGGGCCGGGGGCAGGAACTCTCGGGGGCCTTAGAAGACCCACACCCTCCTCCATTGTGACGGGCGGGCTTGCCTCTATGACAGCGTGGGCCTGGGAGGCTGAGGGGCCCGGGAGCGGCGCCAGCTGCGGAGAGCTCAGGAGGCGATGGGGAGATGAGGGAGCCCGCCTCGGCCCCCTCGGTTCCGGCAGGACATGGCCAAAGGGAGACGCTTCAACCCGCCCTTGGACAAGGACGGACGATGGGTGAGAACCAGTGCCCCGTCTCAGGGCTCTCAGGCCTCGTGGGTGTGATCACAGACCCGAGTCCCGGTCCCACCTCTGCTCCTTCCCGCGGCATGACGTGGTGACTCACTTCACCGGCCTCAGCTTCTCCATCTGTGAAACGGAAGCCGCAGCACCTGCGCCTAACACGCCGTGTGCTGCTGTCTCCGCTGCTGGAACATACGCGTTGTGGGCGCTGGACCCGGGCCTTATTCGCTGGCTGCATCCCGAGTGCCGAGGAGGGGGGGTCTGTACACAGGAGGACCTCAGAAGACATCTGTCGGGGGGTCACCGTGACACTGGGGACCGCTGATCCCATTCCCGTGGCCCCAGTCTGGTCCCTGAGCCCTGCCCCCTGGGCTGTGAACTGGGAAGAGGCCAGCAGTGCACCATTTCCCCAACTCGGTCATCAGTAAACGTCACCTTTTCAGCTTCACGCTCTTCCTCAGACCTCTCTCTCTCTCCCCACCTCTCTCCTCTCTCTCTCTCTCTCTCTCTCTCTCTCCTCTCTCTCTCTCTCGTCACTGACAGAGCCCGGTGGGCTTGTCACTCTCCTGCCATCCCCCAAAAGCGTATCCCACACCTCTGCACGCAGTGCTAGCCTCAGCAGCACCCCCCCACACACACACACGTGTTCAGACGCCCCTGCTTCATGTCAGAAAGACCTGCCCCAGGAACACGGGAACTAGTGTGATATGTTTGTGGGGTTCCTCCCACACTGGGGGACACTAATCCGTGACGAAGAGAAGAAACGCACATTTCCCGGACTAAGCAGCGCCCCCTCTTCCTGAGGCCTGCAGGGCCCGGTGGGGTGTGCTGCCTGGGCGTTAATGGAGGTCGGGGACGGTGTCTTCGCCACTAGGGGTTTGTGTTTCTCAAGGAAAAGTAAACCCAGAAGCGGGTGGTGGAGGGCTGGCACCTGCTCCGGGCATCGCTGAGGCCCCGGCTGTGTCGGGCCTTCTGTTCTGACATCTCTGTGTGAGGCTGAGGGACTCGGTGTGCAATGAGGGGAAGGTCAAAGGGCAGCAGACAGAGGTGCGTGTCTGCCCCTCCTCCGAGGTGACGCAGCCCCTGCACAGCCTCCAGAGGGCCCAGTGCACGATGGCTAAGGCTTGTGTGGCCGCTTCATTGATGCCCATTCCTGCTCTCGCGGGAGACAGACACATCCACCATGAGAGAGAATCACGGATCGGCCGCTTCCCGCACGCCCCACGCTGGAAACCAGCCCGCCACCCGGCCTGTGCCCTGACCGGGAATCGAACCGTGACCTCCTGGGCGATGCTCAACCCCTGAGCCCCGTGGGCCGGGCTGGGGAGGAATTCTTACCGCCTCACTGCCACCCCACCCGGGCCAGGCTCCTGTCACCACGGAGGAGCGAGAGTGAGCGTCAGCTCCTGTGCCAGCCCCTCCCCGCCGGACGGCGGGCTCCCGAGCCAGGCCGCTCTGAGCCTTTGGGGGCCTCTCCCGCCAGCACCGAGGGGCATGGGGGTCTGCTGGCCCTGGGTTTCCAAAGTGACTGCCGACGAGTCGGGAAAACGTTCTTGGCTTCGGGCGGTGGCCCGCGGGGAGGACAGTGATGGCGTTCGTGTTGCCACTGACGTCGCTGGGGGCAGTCTGGCCGCCGCCCAGTAGGACAGGCCGCCCTCCCGGTCGCCTTCCTGTTTAGTATTTCAGTCCTTGCGAGGCTGGATGCAGCAACCATTTCACCGCCGCTGAGCTAAAAGGCGCCATTTCACGCTTTCCCCAGCGAACAGAAGGGTTTATTTCACAGCTGTCAGGGGGTAGCCATTAAGTACATATTTTAAAAGAGTGAAATTAAAGTGCTAGAGCCATTTCTTACAGCGATTTAGCCCACAGACCTGCGGAATGCAGATGAGCTCACACAGGCTGCCCCGTGGGCGGGGGAGGATCATTCCTGACAGCAGGGCACCCCCTGGGGGAGCAGCCGCGGTGGGGATGGGGGGGGGCGGGTGGCCCTGTCCCCTCACCCCAACTCAGGGCACCTGGGAGAGGCAGGCCACGCCAGGAGCTTCCTGTGGGCTGCTGCGTCCGGTGCCCCTCCCCGCCTTTCACACGGGATAGGAAGCCCCATCACTTCCTCCTCTGCCACCTGCCTCCCCACCTGGACCCTGCACTCCTCGGCCCCCGGTGTCTGAGGTCCACTCCTACCCGCAGGAGGCTGGCTGGCTCCCTCCATGAACATGGGCGGGGTCTTGTTCCCAAGCACAGGGGCCCTCGAGCAGAACGGTCTCGCTTTACACGTGTGTGTGAGTGTGTGTGTGTGTGTGTGTGTGTGGTGTGTGTGTGTGTGTGTGTGTGTGTGTGTGAGTGTGTCTGTGTGTGAGTGTGTGTCTGTTCTCTGTGTGTGTGAGTGTGTGTGGTATGTGTGTATGTCTGTATATCTGTGTGTGTGTGTGTGTGTGGTGTGTGTGTGTGTGTGTCTGTGTATCTGTGTGTGTGTGTGTGGTGTGTGTGTGTGTGTCTGTTCTCTGTGTGTGTGAGTGTGTGTGGTGTGTGTGTGTGTCTGTGTATCTGTGTGTGTGTGTGTGGTGTGTGTGTGTGTGTCTGTGTATCTGTGTGTGTGAGTGTGTGTGGTGTTTGTGTGTGTCTGTGTGTCTGTGTATCTGTGTGTGTGTGTGTGTGTGTGTCTTGGAGTTAAAGGGCTCACCCCGCAGGGCTGCACCCTGGCACCCCGCCGGGCGCAGGACTGCTTCCAGCTCCAGGACAGCGGGGCGCCCCGAACCGGGAAACAGCCAGCAGCGATGGCCTTGGGCCACAACAATATTTTCTGTCTTGGGAAGGACTCCTCAAAACCACCCATTCCCCTCGCGTGCCAGAGGCACCCAGATTGCATTTTAATCACTTCACGGAGGAAGCCTGCTGCCTGGCTCAGGCGTGCCAAGGTGCCTGGTTTTATTTTATTATTTTATTTTGTTTTATTTTATTTTATTTTGTTTTGTTTTGTTCCATGTTATTTTTTATTATTTTAAAATGTTTTTAGAGAGAGGAAGGGAGAGGGAGAGGGAGAGAAACACCCGTGATCAGAGAGAATCACCAATCGCTGCCTCCCGCACGCCCCCTACTGGGGATCCAGCCCACAACCCGGGCCTGTGCCCTGACCGGCATCGAACCCTGACCTCCTGGTTCAGCGGTCAATGCTCAGCCCTGAGCCTGCCGCCGCCGGCAGAGGTGCGGGTGTTAACGGAGGCCGTGCTGTCCCCTAGTTTCTGCACATCGGAGTGACGCAGAAGACCCCGGAATCCATCACCAGTGAGACGCTCAAGGAGCCCCAGAACCCGCGCTTCACCCGGCAGATCGAAGACAGGCTGCCGCCCATCTACCGGGCCCGGGAGAAGGTGCGTGTGGCGCTGGCCACGGCCCCCGAAGGACCCCTCCCTCCGCCTGGACTCCCCAGTGCTGGCCCCATCCCGCCTGGGCCTGGGCGCCCCTGCTCCTCTCTAGAAGGAGCTGCTCCCTCCCGGCCCAGATGCTCCGGGGGTCTGTGCACCTTTGGTTCCCGCTCCCTCTTCATTGACACGTGTCCTGCCTCCTGGCCAGTCCCGGCAGCTTCGGGCATGGGGTGCCTCCAGGAGCAGCCGGCGTTGATGGCACGCCTGGCGGGCCCACCTGCCCCAGGCCCAGAGGCTCCGAGCTACTTTCCCCTCTCGGGTCCACAGCGAGCCGTAACCGTTCCTTCTCCCTCCACCGAAGGGGCGTGGGAGGGAGGTGTGATCATTAGCAACCAGGGCTGAGTTTCCAAGCCGCAAACAGAGGAGCACGCCTCTGAGCTCACCTTCCTGTGCTGGCTCCTTCCCCGGTGGTGGGATCATTCTTTCTTTAACAATGTTTTTTTTATTGATGTCAGAGAGAAGGCAGAGGGAGAGAGAGAGAGAAGCATCCATGGTGAGAGGGAATCATGGATCAGCTGCCTCCTGTGCCCCCCCCCCCCCCACACACACACACACACTGGGATTGAGCCCGTAACCTGGGCCTGTGCCCTGACCGGGAATTGAACTGCCACCTCGTGGTTCATAGGTTGATGCTCAACCGCTGAGCCACGCCGCGGGGCAGGTGGCTTTGTCCTTACTCAGTGTCTCTGGCCTCCCGGCCGCCTGAGCCGCCATAGGCGTCCCGAGAGCAGGCGGGGCCTGACGTGGGCCCCTCTCCCTCCCTTGCCTTCCAGCAAGCGGCCCACAACAACTTCCCCTTCTCCATGCACGACAACCGGCACAGCCTGCGGAGTTCCGGCCTCTACGCTGACTCCGTGAGCACCCCCCCCGCCCCCCGAGGGGCAGCGGCCTCGGGCCTCTGGCCCCCTGAGACGTGCTGAGCCAGGGCCTGGCCTCACAGGGGGAGCAGGGCCGTTTCCAAGGCCCGTGAGAGGCCACAGAAAACAAATGCACGGAGCCCTCCAAGTCCCAGGCGGCCTCGCTCTCTGGGCCGCCATTATTTCCTCCTTTTCTCCCTCCTTCCCTCCTCCCTTCCGTCCTCTCTTCCTTTTTGTGGATTCTTAAATTCTCAATATCTTTCATAGTTACAGTTTCAGCAAGTAATTTTTTAAAAATATATTTTTATTGACGTCAGAGAGGAAAGGAGAGGGAGAGGGAGAGAAACATCCATGATGAGAGTGAATCACTGATTGACTGCCTCCTGCACGCCCCCTACTGGGGATGAGCCTGCAACCTGGGCCCGTGCCCTGACCAGGAACCTAATGGTGACCTCCTGGTTCCCAGGTCGACGCTCCTCCCCGCGCCCTGCCGGCCGGACTGCCATGTTGTACGCTTACACGTAGGCTGTCCCCCGCGGGTTGTTCCGCAGACCTCAGAGCTGTGTGACTGCACACATTTGTCTCCTCATCCTCTCGGTTCCTCCCCAGGCCCTGGGACGGAGGAAGGTCGCCCCGGAGAAAAGGCAACACGTCTCGAGGAATTTCAACCTCTGGGCCTGCGACTACGTGCCGTCGTACTTCGACGGCTTCTCCAACAACCAGATCTCGTACGTGTGCCCGGAGGCGGTGGTGGTGCCGCCGTTCCGGCGCTTCCCGCGGCAGTACGACGAGGTGTGGGCCACCTGGCGGTTCCTCCCCGAGGGGAGCTACGCCGAGCTCCTGAAGAAGAAGCCGAAAGTCCGCTTCGCTACCGACAAAAAGGCCACCTCGCCCCTGGAGCTCTTGTGCCCGCCGGGGAGCCTGGATGAGTTCCGGGAGGCGGGCATGGCCGTGGGCATCCCGTCCGGCACGGCCGGTGAGCGTAAGGCTTGCCAGGGCTAGAGGCTGTGGGTGCCGAATGCCCAGGGCACGGAGGCCAGTCTCTGCCGCGGAGAGAGGGCCGGTTCTGTGGCCACACCCCGCCCGTAAGATATATATTTTTTATTTCTAATTAGGTTGAAAAGCATTCAAGCCTTACCCAATAAAAATATGTGAAGATATACACATTTTTAAATGAATGTGTTATAACTAAATTGAATGCATTTCAAAAAGGCCACACTCACCTTGAGGGGAGTGTTAACAGCTGTATAACTGAGATGTGGTTATATTTTCGCTTTGAAATGTCGGACCATGCAGAAAAAGTAGGCGCCCCCCGTGGTTGGGACACATCGCCAATCCTTGTCCCGTCCTCGTGAGCTAGCCGCTCGTTTTCATTCTGTGCCTTTGCCATCTCATAGATGGACGTGGAAAATGACGTAAAAATGTAAACATAAGCGGTGTCACAGCACATGGCAATCTACAACTTCCTTTCGATATGGAACCATGTATCTTGGGGTTTTCACGGTGGCCGTGTAAGCAGACAGCTTTGCTTCTTATTTTTTTAAAATATTTTTTATTGATTTCAGAGAGGGAGAGGGAGAGAGAGAAATATCAATGCTGAGAATCATTGATCGGCTGCATCCCTACTGGGGATCGAGCCCACCACCCTGGCCTGTGCCCTGACCAGAAATCGAACCATCACCTCCTGGTTCATAGATCAACAGTCAACCACTGAGCCACGCTGGCTAGGCCCGTGGTCAGCAAACCGAGCCTCGAGAGCCACATGCGGCTCTTTGGCTCCTTGAGTGTGGCTCTTCCACAAAATACCACGGCCTGAGAAAGTCTATTTTGAAGGAGTGGTGTTAGAAGAAGTTTAAAAAATTTGGCTCTCAAAAGAAATTTCAATCATTGTCCTGTTGATGTTTGGCTCTGTTGACTACGTGGTTTGCCGACCACTGGGCTAGGCCAATGTGCCATACTTTTTAAAAATTATCTTCTTGTTAATGAGAGTTTGAATTGTTTCTGATTTTTGGCTGCCAGACCCGACACTACAGGACCCCACTGCGAATGCTCTTTTGGACAGTGAAGGATAGATAAGGATGACCAAAGAGTGGCCATTGTTATTTTTATGTCTTCATTTCTGTGGTTATGAGTGAAGCTGAGCATCTTCCTGCTGGTGGCATTCAGAGTTCCCTCCGGAAAACGGTCACCATCACTCTCTACCCCGAGTGTCTTGTTTATATTTGGATATTTCCCAACAGAGGAATTTTAGGCACTTGTCACATGAGTCCATTGGCCATTTCGCAGGAATTTCCCCGAATTTGAGGTGGATTAGGGGAGAGTTGACATCTCTGTGCCCCAGTGCAGTTCTCCGTTTATTTAAATTTATTTTGTGTTCTTCCATAAACGTCCAGGGTTTTCTTCACATGCCTCTGACGTGTTTCTTTTCTCTGCCTGTCCCTGCCTATTTTGAACGTTTCTGGCAATTTTGAATGTTATTTTTTTACGTGACAGCTTTAGTTTGGTTTCGCCTGATGCGTAAGAAAGATGCTGATTTCTGTATGTACACCTTGTATTTTTGACCTGCTAACCTAATAAACACGCAGAGTATTAAAAATAAAACTCTCGTGCGTTTTCAGTGGGTTCTCTGGTGTTCTGTGTGGATGGTTCTCTGGCAGAAGTGAGAGTTCCCACCCTCTCTCTCCGGTCCGCGCCCTCACACACAGGGCGCATGGCTGAGCCCCTCCGTGGTCAGTCCCCCGAGGCCCCGGCACAGGAATGGGTTCTCCAGGTGCTGCCTGCCATTCCCGTTTCTTCCCCGGGGTGTCCTCGCCGTCCGCACCTGCTGAGCCTCTGTGCCTCCGCCTTCTCTGCCCCAAACCCACCTTCCCCAACAGGACTGATCCACACTCCACTTCCTGGAGATGAAACCTTAAAAACTACCAAGTTACCCGGCACATGAAGGAGAGCTGTGTGGGTGGGGAAAGCATGGCTGGGGGAGGGGGATCGTGACCATTTTTAAAAACACAAATTAGACAACCTGCCCTTAAAACCAGTCTTTTTTCACTTAATTGTTTCTGACATAAAAAATAAACCACACCGATCGATCACTCTCCAGTTTTCAGTCCAGTAAACCGAGAACAGAAGGACACAGCACATTCACGGGTGGGGGGGAGGGGAGGTCTTGGGGGTTCCAGGGCTGACACCCCAAACACAATCCCCCTCACAAAGGAAAGTCCTCGATAACCAGGCCTGGTCAGCGGCCTGCTGCTGCTGTGGGTCTCAGTCTTGCTATGTTGCTTTGATCAGAGGACCAAACAGCCCGATAAACAAGCCGCTCGCTAATCAACCCATCAGGGTTTATAGATTTCTCCTGTGTTAACCGATTGGACCTGGGCTGGTGCCATCCTGGCCATGGCTCAGGCACTGAAAGCAGGGCTGATGGCGCAGAAATAACGCTCCTGAGCGGTGCGCCCAGGATCATTCCAGAACAATAGCCTCAGCTCCTGGCTGCCGATGACGGGCAAGCGCATAACCATCAAAGGCTCATAGACATGACCCTTAAAGTGCAGAGGGATGGCTTCTTATGTATAACCCACTCTCCTTTTAACTATTTTTATTGATTTCAGAGAGCAAGGAAGAGATTGAAACATCCATGATGTGAGAGTCATTGATTAGCTGCTTCCTGCACACCTGGGCCTGAGCCCTGACTGGGAATCGAACCGTGACCTCCTGGTTCATAGGTCGGTGCTCAACAGGCCGGGCTGTACCCCATTTTAAACGCTGGAGAAGCACCCTCAGCTGGCCTGTTTGACATTCATGACTCATTTTAAGGACTGCCTCTCTTTGTTTGGCACATTGTGTGTGGGTCTTTGGCCACAGCCACCTCCGTTCTGGTGGCCCCCGGACTCAGGTGTGGCCCCCAGACTCAAGTGTGGCCCCTGGATTGAGGTGTGGCCGCCGGATTCAGGTGCGGCGTGTTTCTCCTTCCACGACTGATACCACAGCCCTTCCAGGAGCCACATCACCTCTGCAGGTCAGAGGTCACTGCAACTCCAAAGTCCAGGACGCCTCTCTCCTGGCCCGCGGGCAGGGAGCAAGGACCCCGCCCAGCCCAACCATCGCTCTAACCCTCAGAATTGGCACCATGGTGATGACTGCTGGGGGAGGGGGTGCAAGGGGGAGCAGCCAGGCTCATCCTCGGTCTTAGTGCACGAGGCCTAGACTTCAGACGACAATACCCAGCATCCTTTGCAACCGCCAGAACGGCTGGGCAAGAATGCCGCTCAGGTGACAATACTCCGAAAGGTCATCGTCATTTTATTGAGCTGTGATCGGGGAGATAAATGTCACCTGGACGTGTTTAATATTGGAAACAGATTATATTGCAGAACAATTATGAACGCGTGTTTCTTGTACATTAAGAGTTGGGTGTGTGTGTCAGGTTAGAAGCTGAGTGATGCTCTGTCTGCTGGAGGAGGGGTTGGGTTTAATTCCTTCTCTCCTCAAGGAAAAGGAGAGCAGCAAACTCCTTCCTGAAGCACGGAGTGTGTTCTGGTCTCGCGTGGACATGAGCAGCTGTTTTGGTTTCATGTATTCACTTCCTGAACGTGTGGTGAGAGGCGACGTGGAGAATTAACAGCGTCAGGGTGAGGGGTTCTGGGTGCACTCAGCCGGGGAACGGGGCCAGCTGGCTCCCCACCTTCTCGCTGGGAGCGTGAAGTCGGGGTGTTGGCTCTGGGAACAGGGAGGCGGCATCCAGCCCCTGCTCAGTCGGTAGCAGCGAGGCTGGGCCGCAGCAGAGGCAGCGGTGGGGGGACAGTGTGTGGGTGGGGCTGCAGCCGGGCGGGTGCCAGGCAGCTGGGGGCACGGGGAACCCTCCCCGGTCAGCTGGGCTCGAGGCTCAGCTCCGTGTAGGGGAAAGTGGGGTGAGAGTGTGATGGAGGAACAGGGTCAGCAGAAGGATTTTTTCCCCTTAGAACAACAAATTTATCACCTTGTGGTTCTGGGGGTCACAGTGCTAACCTGGGTGTCCGTGGACAGGATCAAAGTGTGGGCGGCCGGTTCCTGGTTACGGGAAGCCCTGACCTTCACCCTGGCCCCCTGCCGGGAGTGCCATTTCTCCCTCCTCATCGGAGTACCCCCCTCTCCCCCGGCCCCCACTTAGCAGCCCTCAGCTGCCAGGATGGTCAGGATCCACATCATCACCTTCCCAGGATGCAACAGGGCTCCCCCGTTCTTCTTGACCTTCACAGCGTGTGTTCCATCTGCCTCCCCCCAACCACCTAGTGCCGTGGTCGGCAAACTCATCAGTCCACAGAGCCAAATATCAACAATACGACCGAAGTTTCTTTGGAGAGACACGTTTTTTAAACTTAAACTTCTTCTAACGCCACTTCTTCAACGTAGACTCGCCCAGGCCATGGTATTTTGTGGAAGAGCCGCACTCAAGGGGCCAAAGAGCCATGGTTTGCCGACCACAGACCTAGTGCATTACGGATGAAGGAGGGGGTGTTTCAGCACTGCCCAGCCCTCAAACCAGTGTGTGCAGACCTGGGCGTGTTTTAACCGTCCTGCTTTTTAACAAAAACTAGCCTCTCCCGTCCGGAGGCAGGATGATCATGTTGCTTTAGAAAGCGCAGCAGGTGGGTGAGGCCGGGTCTGCAGAGATGACTGTTTGGCTGAGGTCACATTTGTGGGGAAAAACGCTGTAGCCCTGGCTGCTGTGGCTCATTTGTTTGGGTGTCATTCCATGCACCTGGAGATCAAGGGTTCGATTCCCAGTCAGGACACAGGCCCGGGTTGTGGGCTTGATCCCGAGTAGGGGGCGTGCAGGAGGCAGCTGGTCAATGAGTCTCTCTGGTCATTAAGTTTCCCCAGCACGCTAGCTCTTCCTGCGTCCCAGTATTATCCCCCTGAATCAGATGTTTCTACCTCTCTCTCTCTCTCCCTTTCTTCCTCTGGAGTCAATAAAATTATATATTTTTAAAAAGTCAAGTGCATAGCAAGCACCCTTTCCTCAA